AGCCAAATATCTAAGCTCTAACTCTTAGGGTTGTTTAAAAAAAGATATTTAAAGATTTTTCTTTCGGTTGCCATGGCAACCAGAGTTCTGCATGGAATTAAATTCTTTGAACAATTTTAAAAGGTGACCACCAAAGGAACATTCCTGAGAAGTTTGGATGAAATTGGCTCAGTGGTTTATGAGGAGATGTTTGCAGACAGTTTGTGCAGAATTCCATGTAGACAATGCGGCCTTGAAAATTATCCTGAATTTCAAAGCAATGTATGTTTGGTTACTTCACTTGAACAGAACATAGAAAGTTATGGGGAAATAAATTTGCAAAAGGCTCAAAGTGAAGATAGAAATATACAGTTGATTAAAACATGGATAAAAACTGGTAACAGACCAGGGTGCCGTTTTATCAACGGTCGTACGCCCGGTCGTAGCTAAGATTTGGTCGTACGACCGATCTTACGGCTACGTCGCGTTTTATCAACATGGTCGTAGCTTAGACGTCGTAGATTTTCGTCATAACTTTAAGGCTGCTTCAGACCAGTCGTAAGTAGGCTTAAGATCTTAAAAATGGCGGCCATTTTTGCATAATTCCCGATAGGAACTTTCAAACACAAATATTTGAACAATTGAAGTTTTCAACTAACGTAGGTTTTCCGCGTACATGTTTATGTACAGTGCTGATTCTATTTTAACATCCCAGGGACGCAACTATCACTTCCAGATTAATCTCCGGATAATTTCCACGAAGAAGCTATGGTTAGTTATATTACTTTAATTTAAGTACAACCGACGTATATATATGTGTTTATTATAACTCCTGTCACATCTGTAACTAGATTAGCAAATGATTCTTACAATTTTCTATACCGTTTCTTACTTTTCTTTTCGAAATATTTTAGTACAGAAATTTCGGACAGTGCAGATTTCGGACAGAATATAGATCTAACAATTGTCAATAACAATTGTGTTAATTGTCAAGCTATTAAACCAAATTGATTGTTATAATTAGTTAAGTATGTTCTTTTGTAGACCTTTCAATGAAGTTGCTACAGTATTTATGTGAAAGACAAGTGTAAATAATGTGAAATCAACATGGCAACATTATGTTAACCTACAGTACAGTGCTGTAATGGGAATGCAAATGAAACTGCAGCACTGTTGTTTGGTAAAGCATGTACATGTTTGCGAAATGAGCATCTTTAGATCCAATTTGGTGTATCACATGAAAAGAGGATTGTAAACAAAGGACAAGTAACTTGTGCAAATTGCAATGTTAATTATTTGATTTTAAGTCAGAATATTCTCTGTAATGTTTCAGATTACTGCTGAATGATGGAAGGTTTACAGCTAAACAATCTTATGATTGGAATCAATATCCAGGGACAGCTCTCCCTTACAGGGTCCAAGTGTTGTGACCTTGTTATATGGCCAACAAAGGGCATATAAGTCCTAAAGATAGTTAAGAATAAAGTTATATAGACTATCAAACATTTCATCAATTTACCAATATCTGTAAGATAAGGTACATTATGTATAATTTAATACATTCCATAATAACATGCACATGAATAAAAATAACACTTAAGTATGGTCACAAAGGGACAGTCAGTGATCTACAATTATTACCCTGAATGCATGTAAGAAGCTTTATGTGAATGCTTTTAATGATTAATGAAAACATATACATAGGTTAAGGTCTTTAAGTTGTTTTTGAATATATACTTTGGATGGTACATGTATGTACTGACTATATATTCACTTGTCTTAAGTGTCAAAACTATATATAGCTATTCATGTATGTCAAAATCAAATATGTATATTTCTTGAGGTGATAACTTTACTGAATCATTCTCTTGAATAACATTATGAAATTCAAAACTTGAAAGGAATACACAGCAAAATGATGTTCTTCTCTGTATTCAATTGGATTAAAGTGACTTTGAAAAAAAGATTTATGTGTTACAATTCATAACATGAGATAAATCAATGTAACATATGTGTTTATATTGATATTTATTGATTTATTGTTACTTGAATGCATTAAAAATTGTTGGGATGAATATTAAAAACACAAAGAAAATAACACAAAAGGGACACTAATTGAAATAAACAATTGTAATACAGAATTCCCTGGAAGTGACATTTTATCTTTAATGTGCTAAGGTTATAATCATCTTTGTCTTAACTGCTCTTGTCTGAATAGTACCTTGTGTCTGTTAAAACATATTATTTTTATATTGTTATCTACTTTCAAGATTGTTTTCTAGTAGATATGTAAATAAATTCTCAACAGGTATCATAAAAAATTAATATGAATTAGAAAAAGTTGTAACATGTCATTTCAATGTCATAATTTACTGTCCTATATTTATTTATTGTCATACTGGAATAATAATAAATGACTTTGTAACATTCCAACACTTTCTGTTCTGTAGATACCTTCACAAATCAGCCAGCCATACTAGGATCCTGCCTATTACCGGACAAAATATGTTTTTTCGCCGTATTTTTCTTTTAAATAATAAAAAAGAATGGAATTTTACCCAAATAATTTTGGGTTTTTATAACACGTAAACATTACTTAATCGGACATAAAATTAAAAATTTGACCGTAGAAATGTGTCTTTAAAGTAGGGCATTATAAGAGAAAAAATCGTGTAGACAGCTCAATTTACCGCGGACATTGTGTTTCAAAATATTTTGAAGTCGTGAATTTAAATTTGTCTGTAAATAATCAGCATGGAAACTACGACAAGGTTAAGATATTTGAAGAACCCAGGCAGCCATGTTTGTTACGAAGAGGCCAATGTTTGGGGTGTAATTGAAATTAACACTATTAACTCAATTAACGTATTGAGTCTTCATGATCCTTAAATGTATGAAACACTTTGATATTCAAATGGAATTCTGTTCTTTGTTATAAAGTTCCCTTTTGGTCATCATGTAGCATGTTACAAAAGCCATAAAATCTATTTTTATTTACATTTCATGTAGAGTATCCTTCCATGGGCGTAACCCGTTTCCTTATATGTTTTTTAATTTGCATTTCTTTGAAAAGACAACGACATACTGTTGGAATAAATTTAAAATTACTTTTTATCATAAAAATCTGTTACGATTGTCTCCTGAGATAACGTTGAGAAGAATTAAAAGTGAAATTTATCTAAAATAACCATTAAGGGCCTCAATATTCGGGCATGCGCAGAACAGATTATTCCCCGCATGACCAGGCCATGAAATTATAAGTAAACACAAAAGGGCATGGTAGTAAATGTACGGAGCCCCTAAGGTGACATTTTCCAAACTTTTTCCCCGGAATTTAATTCGTTTTTACGAAATAATAATTCGTAATTACGAAATATTAATTCGTTTTTACGAAATATTAATTCGTAATTACGAAATATTATTTCGTAATTACGAAATATTAATTCGTAATTACGAAATATTTTTTCGTAATTACGAAATATTAATTCGTTATTACGAAATATTAATTCGTTTTTACGAAATATTATTTCGTAATTACGAAATATTATTTCGTAATTACGAAATATTAATTCGTAAAAACGAAATGTTATTTCGTAAATACGAAATATTAATTCGTAAATACGAAATAATATTTCGTAAAAACGAATTAAATTTTTTTCTAGCGTTTCAAAGAGTTTTGGTAATATTTATAAATAAGGCCTCAAAACTAAGTTCCTGGCTTAATATAAGGCATGTACATGCAATATAAATAGTGATTTTTGTTCTCCCCAAGTTTTTTTAACTTTACACTATTGTACATAAATTAAAATATTCGCATGTCAATAGCGTTGAGCCACAGCCGTGATAGACACGCGCTAGGAAAATTTACTTAAAATGGGGGTCCTGTGCTTCAAATCCAAACACGGACATTTCTAATAATAAATTGTGAGGAAATATTCATTTTAAATTAATTAGATTAGTGAAATCTGGACCAACCCCCTCCTCGTCCCATTAGTTTTACTTATGTAAATGATAAAAGAACGGAATAATATAGCATGTTTCTGTTTTAAAGATACATGTCGTAAAAGATTGCCTCAAACATTAAAACATTGCTGATAGGAACATGTATTTGACAATGGGGAAAAAAGACCATTTTGGATAGAGAATGACTTCTCACTCAAAAACCCTGTTCACTTAAATATAATAACTTGAGAACCATTCGGCTTATAATCGCAAAGTTGATCAAGGCATGTAAATGACCCATTTGTGAGATTAATAGGTTCATTATCAAGCTCAAAATGACCTTAAATAAGATTTCGTAAAAACGAATTAATATTTCGTAATTACGAAATAACATTTCGTTTTTACGAATTAATATTTCGTAATTACGAAATAATATTTCGTAAAAACGAATTAATATTTCGTAAAAACGAATTGATATTTCGTAATTACGAATTAATATTTCGTAAAAACGAATTAAATGCCGAGGTAAAAGTGTCGAGAATGTCACCTTAGGGGCTCCGTATAAATGGTAGTAAAACTGAATCAACAATATTTACCTGAGAGTGGTTTTGTTGTTATTTACTTTGAAATAGAAATAGTGTGTACGATTCAGACCGGATGATTTTTTAATCGAAGCAAAAAATAAAGAACTACTCGGCAGAAATAGATTTTGTCCGGTAAACCGATTGTCCAGTAAATATGAAGGAGCCCAGTATTGTTTTCAACTTTCCCTTAATCTTAGCTGAAACTGCTAAGAAAGACTCTTCTAATGTTTGCAGATGTTGTTTAGCATTTTACCTCAGAGTACTGTACAATTTTTTTTTAATTCAAGCTGTGCCACCTGTAAAATATTCAATGTCATGAATGCACAGACAGATTGAACTTTGGTGGGTGTCTCTGTATTCAAGCATCAACAGCGCTTTGTTCCAAGTAAAACAAATCTTAAAACAGTAGCTATGCTTTGGAAGCCTACAAGATACTATACGGTTGACAGATCATAATGATGAATACTATCACGTTCTTTGACTTTTATTCAGAATATTCTTACCGATCTCGGGTAAGGGATGTAAGGGATATATTTACATAGTCATTGGTGATATTTAATTGTATCCTTAGCCGTTTTTAAGGATGATCAGAATGGCGCTAAAGTTTTTTTAGAAGTAATGTGTCTAACACGCAGAAGGCATATAAAAAATTTGACATCGTTTTGTAGACGGATATATATGAGCCGCGTCACGACAAAACCAACATAATGGGTTTGCGACCAGCATGGATCCAGACCAGCCTGCGCATCTGATCAGGATCTATGCTGTTTGCTATCAGTTTCTTTACTTGTTATAGGGTCTGTAAGCGACGTTCTGTTTATGCCATGACAGGTGCGCGGGAAATCACGTGACCCGGAAACGTACTTTCGACTGTATGGTAACTGTTTATACGGTCGTACGACCGAAAATGGTCTTAGCTGCGACTGAGGGCGTACGACCGTGTTCATAAAACGGTCATGGGGAAATCGTAAGCTCGGTCGTAAGTATCGGTCGTAAGATAAGATCGCAGTTACGACCGTCTTTGTTGTACCGTTTTTCGGCACCCAGAATACAAAGATATTTTAAGTGAAAATTTCTTCTTAAAATCGCTTTGGAGTCAGTGGCCAAGATTAGAAATTCATGATGATCTTTTAGTTAGAAAATGGGAAGTATTAGGAAGCGAACTTATTTATTGGCAAGCAATAGTTCCCCTTAAATTAAGACATTTAGTTTTACAATATTCTCACGATATTAAAACAAAGAGAGCTCCGATGCAAATTGTAAGAAGTGGCTATCCGTTTGAAAGAATTGCAATCGATATTCTAGGTGAATTGCCTCAAACTGATTCGGGAAATAAGTATATTTTGGTGATAGCCGATTATTTCACCAAATGGACTGAATCTTTTCCAATGTCTAATATGGAAGCTAGCACAGTTGCTAAAATTTTAGTTGACAATGTTATAACTAGATTTGGTATTCCAAACAATATTCATTCAGATCAAGGGTCACAGTTTGAAAGTAAGCTTTTCCGTGAGTTATGTAATTTATTACAGATAAAGAAAACAAGGACAACACCATATCATGCTCAATCTGACGGAATGGTGGAAAGGTTTAATAAAACATTAGCTTCAATGTTAAGTATGTATGTTCAAGAAAATCATAAAAACTGGGATGAGTTACTCCCATATGTTATGATGGCTTATAGATCTACTGAACACGAGACAACAGGAATGACGCCAAATATGTTAATGTTAGGAAGAGAATTAAATACTCCCCTAGACTTAGCTTTCGAAATGCCTCCAAACATGAAAAGAATACCCCCTTCTCAATGGGTTTGGGAGTTGCAAGAAAAATTAGAATCCGCTCATAATTTAGTGAGGCAAACTACTGAAAAATCAATGAAACGTCAAAAAGTATTTCATGATTCAAAATTATCATATGAAAAATTTGCTAAAGATGAAAATGTGTTTGTATATTTTCCTGTTAAGAAGTTGGGATGTTCTTCGAAATTAACTTCTTTTTGGAGGGGTCCTTATACCGTAACAGAAATATTATCAGATGTTTTATACAAAGTTAATTGTGGAAAATCAAATTCTTTACAGGTAATTCATGCAAACAGAATGCGAAAAGCACCAAAACAGTTAACATTTGAAGAGAGCCCAGTAATTTCTGATTCTTTTCAGGAAGATACAACCATAGACGAACAAGAGATAGAGAATCGTGAAGAAATAGTATCAAGTAAAAGTAGATATGGTAGGGAAAGAAAGAACCCATATTGGTTAAATGATTATATTTATTCTATTTCCAGGTCAGCATTATCAAGAGATAAAATGTCAAAACAAGCAGGTGACGAAAAAGAAAGAATACCATGTGATGTGTGTGGAGTAACATTCAAGACAGAGAGATATTTGAAAGTACATGTAAAAAAGTTTCACGAAAAAGGAAAGATTGCAGAAAGTGAGAAAAATGAAAAAGAAGAATTAGTTGAGTTACAGTCAAGTGATAGTGATTGGGATGTGGACCCAGAAATATGTTTAGAAGATGACATGTTAGATGTGACAAGTGGAAGAGACGAAAGCGGTAATAAGAGTGAAAGTAATGTGATATGTTTGGAGTCAAGCAGTGACAATATTAAATGTGATGGAAATAAATTAAAGACAAAAAGTAAATCGAACAAAGGTATTCTTAGAATGCAAACAAAGCCAACACTTTTTGTTCCTAAAAGAAAATGTCCTATGATGGAATTATCAAAAGACATGTTTAAGAAACAGAAAGTCTTAACAAGTCAAACCAAGGCGGTAACTAGTCAAACTAAGGCAGGGACAATCCAGAAAAATAATGTTACAACTGAAAAAGAGGAAAATCTTATTAATATAGATTGTGAACTGAACCTTGAAACAGATGGGAGATCAACACATGAAATGACAATTAAGTCAGAGAGTAAGAAAGTATTTCAGAGTTTTGAAACTATTACATCAGGAGCAAATCAGAGGGAACAGACAATTAGTCTTGGTGATTATCTTCCAAAGGGTATGAATATTAAGCCAGAAGATGTTGTTATAAGGAGAATGATAACAGAAGGGAAATGTGTGTTACAGATGGAGATGAGGTGTAAGAAAGCATAGACAATAGATTATCAATCATGAGAACAATTACTGAAGCTTGAGTATTTCGGAACATATTTTTTTCAAGTTTGTTTTTGTTTTAATGTCATCATTACATAACGGTATATGT